GCGTGTATGCTTTTTGTATGTGCATAGAACACCATATCTGTATCATTTCGATATAGACCAGAATTAATTTTGTTTGATGATTGATGATATGATTCCGAAAACAAATCCATCTAATAATAATTACATAATTACTTATAATTTACTCGCCTATGTATCTATTCCATAAAAAAGTTCTCATGGAGATAGAAGTTTAAATTCAATTCAATTTTCTTGCTGATGGGTTCAGAAAAGGATTTGACAAAGGCGTTGGGTTAAATATTCAATAGATAATTATATACTCATTTAATTCTACTAAAAAAAGTTCAACTAACTGCTGGACTTTTCATATCCAGCTTGTCACTTGTATTTGTTTTTTATAATAATCCATCAATCTGAATCGTGATCTTTGATTTTGATCTCGGATCAAGATGCAGATTGACTGCTTACGGGCTCCTAATATTGAGAGGCGATCCCGTGATCTTTGATCGCGATCCAGATTTACTGTATACGGGCTGCCTAAGCGCTGATAATTTCAACCAATAATTTCGATCCAGCTACATCTTAAGATCTGCTAACCGATTTTAATCAAACTGAACTAAATTAACAGTTTACATTTATATCATATCTAGTCTAAAAAAAAACACTTTCCTTATGTGCACATACAGCCATTCCTTATGCTAAGTACATACCCACACCGACCAAAAAATTTCTCTTTACACATAACTTTGTAAAAATGTACTTACAATTTTGAAATCAGAAATGATTCATTATTACTCATACGAAAGTTTAAGTTTATTTTAATGTATGTTTAGATTTAAATAAAATTATTTTATAATTGAGTATCATTAATTATTATAATTAATTTTTGTCTAAATACTAATTAGTAATTCAAATATCGTCCTACATCATTAAGAAAATCTATTTAGCTAATGAAATTGCCCAAATCTAATTTGCTTAAGGTCGGTCTTCACTAATGTTAATATTGAAATTAATTTCATTCTTTAATCTCTAAATAACAAAGAAATTAAAATTATTGAAAGAGATACAATGCCAAACTCTATTTTTTCAATAAAAGTTATAATAATTAACAAAATACATAATATGTATATGTATTGTATTCAGCCCTTTTTAACGTCCCACTGCTGGGCACGGGCCTCCTTTCAGTACGAGGGGAAACAGGCCATAGTCCACCACGCTGGCCAGATGTTTCCTTCACCGTAAGACAAGTGGTAACCATGCTGGAAATAATTTGTACATAAAAATATCAGAGGTGTTAGTCCCGAGATTTAAACCCGCATCACTCGGTTTCCCAAGCGAGCGCGTTACCACTGGGCTACCACTGCCTACATCAGACTATAGTCCATACTTATATCTATACTTACGAGTATATTATAAACAGATAAAGTTTGTTTTTGACGTTGTAGAGGGTAATCTCTGGATCTACTGAACCCATTTAGATGAAATTTGGTAAGAATATAGTTTGAGACTGGGAAGGACATAGGATACTTTTTATCCCGAAAATCATCCCTTAAGGGCGTGAAAGTGGGGATGAAAGTTTGTATTGGGAATTAAGCTAGGGACGAAACCCGAGCGAAGCGAGGGTGAGTCGCTAGTAATTAAATAAAATTAAAATGTTCGTCGGTGAATGAAAATGAAATGAGTTTAAAATTAAATGAATGATTTTATATTCAGCTCATTATAACTCAGCTTAATATTTAGTATTTATGATATTTAAATTAAAACAACTATAAGAGAAAATTTATATGTTTAAGTATAACATAGGCCTATAAAAAGTAGCCTATAATTAAATTTTTTAGTTTGGACAGCGATAAAAATGTTCTTACTACGAAAGCTGATGCAGCACTCGTACGGTTTACAAATGAGGAAATCGTGTTGTAAAGCGCGTACGCAGCGGAACGTAATAACACGGCATTGCGATCTAAATACCATTGCTATGTTTGGATTTTCTTACATGATGCATATATATAAATAAATTACGCTCTTTTTGGATTTCATTCTTAATATTACGATTTTATTTTTGGTATACGATTTTAATTAAAACACCTAGTGAGTATACTAAACTTGCTGGGTTAGTTATTTGAGGCTTTGTAATACTAATATTCAAAAGTAATGAGTGTCAACCGGACACTGAACCCATGACCTGTAGATTACAGATACAGAAGAAAGATTCAAGCATATACCCTAACCAGACGTTAATATTTAGGCACCAATCATCAATGTTTAGAATAATGCCCACTAGCGAGCGGCCCTATAATCTATACATATAATAAAATTGTAACTAAGCCGAATCTGTACATTAAATATTTTTTGGAAAATCTTATTGAAATAAACATTATTATCGATACAGAGGCCGAATCTATAGTTTTTAGAATTTTTGTCTGTCTGATACCGCATCACAGAAAAACCACTGAAGCGATTTTGATGAAATTTGGTATGGTGATAGCTGGTTATCCGGGACAGCATATAGAATACTTTTTACCACGGGAAAACATCTCATTTCTGAGAAAAAATACAAAAACTACAATGTAAGATTATACTAATATGTAAAACTTAAAAATATGGTTTTTTGTAATCTGAATGCGGGCGGGCAATGCTAGTATAATATATATGTACATAGTTTGGAATCAATTATCTTGAAGGCATTTCTATTCTAAACTAAATATTAGAATGTTTGCTTAATATTTCTTATAATAATAATAAAATTAGTGCGCATTATGTTTATTGAATGTACGTATATATAAAGAAACCTAGTTTCGTTAGTTAGTGCCTACGCCATAAAAACACCATTCATAACCTCCAAGTCAGTGAACTGAAGACAATGGAGCCGTGGGAAATGTGATAATTGGATGTTCCTAGCCTTATGTTAGCTTTTATTACGTGTTTGTATACTACTGTTATTTTTTACAACTTTTACACTTCCAGTGTTAGATATTATTGTTTTTTTTTTGTTAATTTGTATTTTACAATGTACCTACTACTAAGTTAACCTTTTTTTTGACGCTGGGGAAAGCCAACAAGGACAAGGGACTGTAAGATTACTAAATAAAACACACGACGACGGAAGCCTATCGCCATTTGCCGCAATTTAATAGGGCGTTGCAGGATGGTTAAATATTAAAAATAAATAAAATATTATGTTGGGGCATTGACACACAGCACCATCTAGTTCAATAGTAAGCTACGAGGCCTGTGTTATGAGTACCAGATAGTTGATACACTACACATATATAACTTTAAATACATACATAATATTATAAATATAAACACCCATGACTGGAGTACAAACATTCGTGCTCATCACACAAATGAATGCCCCCAGCGGGACTCGAACCCGCGACCGCTGGCACAGCAAGCAGGATCACTACAAACTGAGCCAAACGTGTCGTCTATGTTACAGAGATATGTACATTTATTACAATAGATTCATTTAATCAGTCTAAATCTCAGACAGCCTATATCATTTGCGGAAGGAGTGTTTTCAACACCACAGATTCTTTTTTTCTTATTGTTAGATTTTTATGACGATCAACTATGATTTTTAGGCGACGTCGTCCAAGGGGAGGTTCTGAGTGTAAGTTATACATGGTTTGTTATATTATATTTATAAGGTGTTTATTTTTATGATAAACAATTGTATGGAAAATGGATCATTAATTTCATTTATCAACTGTGCCCTTCGGTATCTAGCAATCCAAGTAAATCATTATAATTTATAAGGATAGCGAGACCTAGTATAGTATTAACTTAATTCTATTAAGTATATGATCTATGGCGAGACGTAAGGGGGAAGCTAGGTACAAAAATCTTAAAGAAACAATGTAATGTATGGCAAAATCAATAATAGTGTCGCATGGTATTTGAAATAGGTAGTTTGTCCATTAAATCAAAAATGCTAGGAAAGCAAATCTATACATATAATAAAATTCTAACTAAGCCGAATCTGTACATTAAATATTTTTTGGAAAATCTTATTGAAATAGACATTATTATCGATACAGAGGCCGAATTTATAGTTTTTAGAATTTTTGTCTGTCTGTCTGTTACCGCATCACGGAAAAACCGCTGGAGGGATTCTGTTAAAATTTGGTATGGTAATAGCTGGTTATCCGGGTCAACATATAGGGTACTTTTTACAGCGGGAAAATATCTCATTTCTAAGAAAAAATACAAAAACTGCAATGTAAGACCATACTAATATGTAAAACCTAAGAATTCGGTTTTTGGTTATCTGAAGGCGGGCGGAGCCGCGGGCAATGCTAGTTTGTATACCTAATACCTATAATTTGCACTCACAATGGCTTCCTTCCTACATCCGTTTTTGCGTGCCGGCTGACGGGCGGCTAGTGGATACTGGATAAACGATCTTTGAGTTTTATACACAGTACACCACGACGTTACTCCCGGGTTTTCATCTAAATCGGTTCAGTAGTTTCGGAGCTTATTCGGTACAAACAAACAAAAAAATCTTTCCTCTTTATAATATTAGGTATACCTACCTTTTGTTTGCTAATTGAAAGGATTAAAAAATACTTAAGTACCTATCAGACTTCGAGGTGTAAACTTAAAAGTTGAAACCGTGTTTCATTAAACATTAGCCAACACATTTTGCCAATACTAACAAAAGCTCTACTTATTCTTCTATGTTAACTTATTTTATGTGTTAAATTGATTTAGATAATTAATTAAAGTAAGTTTACTTAGATTTATTTGCAAAAAATGTTGATACAAGCACTAACCTACATTAAACGTCATGTTACAGTAATTCTGGCTTAAAATAAAGCTTTTGTTGTTTAAAAATAAAATTATATTTTATAGGTTACAACTTTATTTTCTACTAAAAAGTAAATTAATTATTTTGTGGAATTACGAAGGGTTTGAAAGTTTTAGCACAATATATTGTAACATGACCTTGATGAGTAACCAAAACGTTATGCAAAGAAAGTTCCGCTTGTAAACACATCTTTACCTAACGGTTATTACAATAATTGCCAAATACATACCATAAACAAATTATTATAACACTAAGCACAAGTTAAACATATCATTTTCCACACAAAACCATATTTTTTTTACAAATAAATAAACTATAGATATTTAACACTCATTTCACATCTTACGAACTTCGAAGTTTTAAACATACTGTCAAAAACTTGCACCACCGGTATTTGAGAATTTAAAATCTTATATCTATCTTTGTCAAACCATCACCTAAACACATTAAATAGAAAGAGACAGCTATACAAATGTAATTCAACTTCAAATCATTGCAGATAGCGCCTTTTTGCGAAGGTAAAAGTAACGGGGATTTTCTTAAGATGCGTGAGATGAGACGGGAGATGTAATATTACGGTTGTTAAAGTGAGATAGATGTAGTTAGGTCATGTTATAATGTCGTATGAATTTGTTGCATTATAAGGTCATGGGAGCGAATAAATATTTTTATGTTTAGACATTTATATATATTATATGATTTATAAAATAAAATAATTTATATTAATTCGTTTGTAATTTTATAGAAGTAATTTTTTGGCCATTATAATTTACGTTATTTCAAAAGTTTCACAGTGACCTATTTACAAAAGCTGTGCTTTTGACTGTAGTTCAAAATAGTAATATTTAAAAAGGGGCATCGAAAAATATAGGACATTAAGTAATATTAAGAACACGTAAATAAAATAAACCTATAATACGTATAAAAAATAAAAATCTTAAATTAGTTGAATAAAAATTGAAATTACTATCTTCCTAGAAGGATGAAATTTTGCACACGATATCCAGATAAAATAAAGCTGAGCAAATATTATTTGATTCTATTATTTTTTTAAAATTTAAAATTTTAATATCTTTATACCCATTCTGTAATTTTATGAAGGTATGAGATACTTTCCATTATCATACTAAATTTCATTATAATCTGTCCAGTGGTTACTCTTATTCCGTTCCCAGAAGGACAGAGAAAAATTCAAAAAACTAGATTCTGTCTCTGTTTCAATAATAATGACTATTGCAATAAGATTTTCCAAAAAATATTTAATGTACAGACTGGGTTAGAATTTTATTATACGTATAAAAAAGTTTAAGTGCTGCCATCTATTGTCGGTACTTAAAAGTAAGTAAATATATCAAAATGACAACTACTAAAGATCGAAATTGTTTTGGTCATTATTAAGAGATGTCGCTTTATTAAAGTAAAATAATTTCGATTTTTTTTATGTTTATTTAATTACTAGCGGCTCACCCTCACTTCGCTCGGGTTTGTCGCTAGGTATGTTTTAAATAGATATAAATAGTTATTAGCCAGCCTTAGCCATATAGCTTTTTTTTTCGTTAATTTAAAAAATGTCATTTTTTCTCTTTATTAAAACCTTCCGGGGACCTTAAGGAACATAAGAAAAAAAATATCACCGAATTAGTCCAGCCATTCTTGAGATATGCGCTTACAACATTCATTTTTATTTATATATTATATGGTTGTTAAGTATTCTTAAATTTTATAATTTTCCGCGCAATTTTTAATTTTTTTCTTTCATAAGAACCTTCTCCTGACAACACACACAAAAACATAACAAAAAAAAGTTAAATCGGTCCAGTTTAATTTTTGGTTCCCGACGTTTCGAATGCTTTACAGCAATCATGGTCACGGGAGAGCGTCTCAAAAAGAAAGTTTTATATAGAATGTAAAATATTCGCGTAAAAAAAGTATTAAATATACTATTTTTTAGTAGCGTTTTATATTTTCTCACAGACAAAAATGTATACGAGATAATTATTATTGGTATTCTACATACTTAGTAGTTTTTTTCATTTCAATTTATTTTAATAACATAGTATTAATGAAATTAATATCAATCTACGTTAAATCTGCTTAATATTGTATAAAAATAACAATTAAAATGTCATCGGTAAGGTATTTATTTAATAATATTATGAAGAGTAAAAAATGAACTATTAAAATAATTAATGTTAGAAACTTAATTTACTAAATAATGGTTTCCATAACTTATTCTTTTACAATTGGTACATCATTATTATAGAGCCATATAACTTTCTTCAAATTCGTGGCATTCAGACAATAAATAATATTAATATCCCATCAAAAACATAACATGTAAAAAAATTGCAAGTCTCGCAACGCATATCTTCTACCGCAAAAAGTTATAAGATATAATGTAAAACCAAGTTTAAAATGTCCATACGAGGATTATTATGTTATTGTATGCATTTAATTTTTTTTTATTAATATATTTTAACGAATGACGCTCAAAATGCTTGCTAAGCACCTACATATTACGTAAATTTTTTAATATATGTAGTAAAATCTTTTTGGAGAAATGTAGATCGTTATAGCAAAAATCGCATCCACATTATTATTATTGAATACATACGTACTGACTGACGTACAGACAAATGCACGCCGACGACTTCATTGTATATGTTTAAGGATAAGGACACTTTTATATGTATGTAAGGATAGGTAAGGATAGGCTTAGGAAAAGTAAAAACCAATTGATAGTGCAAGAGCTGAACATTGTGAATTATACTTCCAAAAGGTATAGAGATTAAAAAACATAAAACATAATTTTATTTTATTTACAAAATATTTTACAATAGTGACCATAATTTATTAAACTAAATAGTTAACAAATATTGCTTAATTTATTATTATTAAAGTAAATAATAACTAGCATTACTTAATAAAACCCAACAATATTTTTTTATTGCAACACTATAAAATTATTTAAGAAATATGATGGTTATTCGTAACAAATATATTCAAAGTACATAAAATATTTAATATTTTGATCTTATTTCAGGATGAATTTTTGGAGTGGAATAAAAAGCATAAGAAATCTATTAAGGAGAAATATTTAGTTGTATTAAAAGTAAGTCGGTGGGACGATAAAAGGATCGCATTTAATTAATTATTGTCACCATTCATAGTAGCATTTCTATTTCTTATAATCTCCACGTACATAGGAACATATGTCGAGTTTCGAATCGATAATAAATTTTCGAGTCTCTTTTTTCTATATTTTTCGGAGTTTTCTTGTAACAAAATCAATGTTTTATTTTTTAAATTTCTGTAATGCCCGTTTATCGTTGGAACGTAGGTCCATGTTGTAGACTCTGTACCTTCTTCAGTTGTTGCAACAAACTCGTTCTGGTTTGGTTCATTTGAACTATCCTTTGTTGTGGTTTCAATCATATTCCTTAGTTTTACAATTAACGTCTTAGCTTCGGTTTCTTCGTTACTAATCTTACTAGTTTCGAAATTACTCCATAAAGTGTCACTTTCTGTGACCTCGTCTAAATTAGAAATACCTAGGTTCAGGTACTGATCTGGTATTTTGGCGTCTTCTGGACTAAACTTAATGATATCGGGAGGATTAGTTATTGATTCAGTATTTGGACGTAGAGGCATTACAGGTGTAACGATAGAATATGTTTGGGGAGCACTAGTTCCAATAGTTATGACACCCGAGCTACCAATATGGTAATCTTCCACACGTGGTAAGTTTACCTTAGGAATATTGGTAATAAAATCCCTTTCTAATGTATCTTGTAGTTTTAAGTTAGGACTTTCTCTGTCAGTTCTTGAAGTACTTAAATCTGTTAGAATCTTATCTTCTATCGACGATGAATATACATTAGAACTAGATATAGTATCGTTTTGATCGTAACTAAATGAAGAAGAAAAGTACACTTTCTTTGTTTCATCAAGAATTCTAGGGCTTTTGTTTCTATGTGAATTCCGTCTAATGGGTAAATTGGACTTGCGTCTAAACTGAAATAAGATAGGTCTTGATGTAGTTATATAAATTTTATCAAGTTCATTTTTAATTTCTGGTGAAGGTTGCCGAAACTTTGGAGTTGAGAAATAATTAGGCATATGACTATAAAACACGTTTGGCTTATTGTTTAATATTGATAGTGGCGTACTTCTAAAACCTTCAGAATTTGGTGTAAAATATTTTTTTGGTATATTTCTGTTGTATTGAAAACATCTTCCATATCTACAATTTGTATGTTCATTTCCAGGTGCAGAGTCGATAGGCACATTCATATTAATTTCATCGAGTGACTTTACAGATGGTGCAAATCTTAATCCATCCGCCAATAAGTTTATATCTCCTGGGCTATCTGGCTTAAAACCAAATAAAGGATCAATATAGTGGTTCTGCCGTAACCTATCTTTTTCTAATTTTTGATGTACATAATCAGAGCCAACACCTGAATTAATATTGTCATTTCGAACTGGTCTTACGTAAAGTTCTGAAAAAGCCATTTCTTCATCACTTGGCATGTAAAAGTCACTGAATTTCGCATTCAAGGTTTTTTCTAGATATTTTATAACATCTCGCAGATTTTTTAACCTCTGGTTGTTACGATAATGATCCAGCCACAGCTTTGAGTTTGTAGTCGTTTTGGAGAACGGCATCGGGTATGGACTTTTATATTCAAAAATAAAAGGTCTTGGACTAGTTCTTCTTATGAACTTGTTTGTAACAGTAGATGTTGTAGGTCTAAAATAATCAATAGTAGATCTATATTTTTTTTTAGATAATGGTACAGGGACATCAAGTAAATCTGTATAGCTTTCTTGTAAGTCATTAATTAGAAGTGGTATTTTCTCATAATAATCCTGATCTACACCAAAATAATTTCTGTCAAGCCTATCTGCCATTGGTGTTTGATTTTTGATGTATTTGGTCTTATTAATAATGTTCTTGGTTTGTGCACTTGTGGTTTCTACAGCAAACATGTTCTCGTAGATTAGTAGAACAATCTGAAAAAAATAACAATTTTATTAATTATTAGTTTTTTTTATTATTAATAGTTATATCTATAAATAAATAGTAACAAAGTGAAATCTGTACATGAAATATTTTTTTAAGCAATGACGATGAATGACTTTATTGTGTACAGAATCAATATTACTTTTTGAGTTCTATACCTCGAAAACGATTGTTGTAGAAATTTTTGTCTGTTTGTATGTATATCTATGCATGTGTGCATTTCACGCAAAAAGGACTGAATCGATTTTAACTCAATTTCGTGTAACTAATTACTCGGGTCAACATTTAGAATAAATACCTTTTATTACAAGAAAATCTTTCTTTCTTTAATCGGGGAAACACAATTACTAGTTCTGTGGAGTCGTCCTTAGAAAACATGGCTGTCACTGGCTAAACCTTAAAAGAATTTTACTTGAAAATTGAAGGTGTAGGTGTTTTAATCTATTTAAAACATACTCGTAGTAAACATGTAGAAATGCACCTGATCAAAGCGAGGTTAAATTACTAGTTATTAATAAATCAGTTTATAAAACTCTTTTTTGATTTCCTTAACATTAATTTTTGCATATTAAAGTGATCTGTTCTGGATATTTAAGTAATAGGTTATAAATTTAACAAAAAAAAAAAACAAATAAACCATTTAGCAGTGCCGGAATTAATCTTAGCGCCACCCCTAGGCACTGTTAAAAATGCCAAAATGATATGAACAAAATGAACAAAATTTTTAAATATTTTTTTTCATTATTTTTTTTTGAAAAATGCAAAACAGTAATTATAAATGATATCAATTTTTCTCACTGGCCCCGAGTGGCCCTAGAGTAAATCCAGCACTGCCATTTAGTACCTAAAGCTAAATAGTTTATTGTGAGTAAAGATTATGATTTAGTTCTTTTCAAGTTTTGCTTAAAAAAAGTGTTTCAATATACTGTTTAAATTTTATTTTTTAGATTAGGTGTTGCTAAAGTAATTAGTCATTTAGGATTGATATGTATCAGAGATTTACTCAACAGATTGAAACAAAGTTAAAAATATAAATTATTACGTGCTATACATATAGACGGACTGATATACAGTCAAACTATTCCAAAAATGTTTATTTCAGTATCTACTGTCTAGTGTCTATATATTATCTATCAATTTCCATTGCATGATTTTTTATTAAAAAAAAGTGCATCATGAGGACTGCCGACAGAAGTGAAAACTTAAAACTATAAACAAACAGTTGTTATTTTTGGATATTCAAAATAATGGTTTGGTCTAGTAAAAAATTGTAAATTAAAACTGTTTACATTTATCTGCTTTTGACATCTATCGGCACTCTGTTAGCGTTAACACGTCACGTGACCATGTCGATGACGACTTACATGAATTTACTCCCCATCAAAACCTGCCTATAGAAGTTTTCACTTTTTATTGTTTTACTAAAATATATTAAAAGAAATAAGATGATTTTTATCATTCCTCCCTATTGTATATAATAATTAGCCGTCACCCGCCGGCTTTGCATTCAGTAGTTTTACGTGATGGTGTGATAAAGGAAAAATCTTTTTCATGATACTTTATAATAATAGAGAAGATATACATACATAAGTAAATAAACAATTTTAACTATTTCACAATTAGTGTACCTAATGTTAAAATGACAAATACATTTTTAAATTACCAGTCAAATAAATTATAATTATTTATATTGTTATCATAATCATTATGATCCTCTTTCTTCCAATCGCCTCGTTGAATTTCCAAATAACTGGATCTACTTTGTGGTATCATCGAATTCGGGTATTTGTCATCCTCAATTTTAACTAGTTCCCACTCATATTCAGATGCGTCATTATTTTTGTTTAACATATAAGTATTGTTTAATTTTTTAATCATATTTTCAAGACTTTTTATGCTCGTGTCAGAATCATCTAATGACACTCTCTTTATTTTTTCCTCCAAATTGAGATCATCTGATCGTAAAGTGGGGTCTGTTTTAATGTTATTTAAAATATTCTCTGTTGTTATATAATCTATTATTGATGTATTTATTGATGAATGAGTTTTACTCTTAGTAAAGTATTCGTTTGTCGGTGGATCTGTTGTAGTACTACTCGTACTGAGTTCAACAATTATTCTATCAGAAATATTTACATTTTCATTAATTAAATCAATATTATAATCATCAATGGAGGTATATGAAGAATTTGCTATAGAATTTTCAATAGTATTTAGATTATTTATAATCTTAGAACGTTCAAATTTTTTTCTATTTGGTATATTTTTTCTCTTTACCAATTCTAAGCTATGAGCATCGAGCATTTTGAAATAATCCATAATATTCAGGTTAGTATCATTGTAGTTTTCGTAATCTGTTTCCATAAACCCTGGAAATTCACTTATTTCTGGACCACTTGAATTCTTTTGTTCGTCATTATTTGTTACTGTGGCTTCTGATACCTTCAGTGGAGTAAATTGAGTGCTTGCCATAGGTGATAATGTTTGTTGTTGGTGTATTGATAATATTTCTTCTATGTTAGATTTATTACTAATTTCATCGAAATATTGTTTCGTTGCAAGTGTTTCATATGCATAATCATTTCCGTTAGTCATTTTAATTTGTTCATATGGTTTAATTAGTTTAGGGATATCATACATGGTATCGTCTTGATTTTGGAATATATTACCAGAGTCATATGAACTGTGTTCAATATTTATTTGAGGAGCATGTGAACTATATTCATTATTTGTTGTGGAGGTTGCTGATGATAATAAATGTGATGATGTATATGATAGAGTTTTATCTTCACTTGTTGTTTCTTTATTGTAAGCATTTTCTTGTATTCTTTGTTGATTGTGCTTACACGATGTGGAAACGTTATGCTGTTTACCAGATAAATTAGGTAATAAAGTTTTAAGGCGTCTTATAAATTTACTAATTAGGTCGTTAATTTTTTCAGGACATTGACAATTTTTCTCTACTATTTGTGTAGATGTTGTTTTAGTCTTCTTTGTATTTTTCTTCTGCATATTTATATTATTAGTTTTATGATTTTCGACACTCGTCATTGGCGTTGTGTACTCTATATTCGGTATTTTATATGCGCCATAAATATATTTTGCCATTGGTATTGTTGTAGCGATCGAAACTCTATCGCTAATCATTTTATCTACATAGTTCATGATTCTTTGGTAATCTCTAATTTTCCTTATTTTTGTAAAGTATTCAATATTCTTTGTTGGATTACGAAAGTATAAAACGGGAGACGTTTTATATTCGATAGTGTAGAGTCTTGATGATGGTGAACGCATCCAATTTTGTGTGTCTGAAACAGCATTTTTTGTAGACAATTCTTCAGTAGACTCTTTCTTTGCGTATGGAGGACTTGAGCTAGAAGAATCTTCTACAATTTTATCAAGATAAATATTTTTCTTTAAGGTTTTTAAAATAAGCGGTAGAATTTGAACGATTGCAGGATTTAATTTTTCTTTGTTAAACTTTACTTCAAAAGGCAATGCTTCTAGACTGTTATTCATCAAGCTAAGCCAATTCGGCCGTTTTGTTTTTGGTTTTGAATCGTGGACCATACTAAATTCGTAAACAAGTATGATACTCTGAAAATGAAAGGAAAAATTATTGAGATTTTAAATTAAATGCATTATTATACCATTAATAATAATATTATGTAAATTTCATTGATTGTTTTAAAATTATGTGTTTTTCATATTGTAGAAATATATTATAATATTAATTTTCAATTTAAATTGTTAAATTAAATATTATAAAAAAAGTATGATGTAATACGCTAGTAGATGTTAAGATTGTGAATACATAAACATTTAACATTTAAACAAATATATTATAATATATAAGCAAATATATAATTAAACAAATATGTTGGTGCAAAAAAAAAATACAAAATTATTAGAAACAAAAGTGCAAATTCAAAAACTTACCATTGAAATAGATAATGTATAATGGCCGGGTTAACATTAATATTATGTTTAAGCAACATCTATGGATTTAAGGAATAAACATATTATTGATAATGCTACACACAATACTTATTTAGATTTACGCGAATGTTTGTATGTATGTATGTATTTAGCCCTTTTTAACGTCCCATTGCAGTGCACTGCTGGGTACAGGCCTCCCTTCAATACGAGATGATCAGGTCATAGTCCATCACGGTTGGCGGACTATTTATTTGGAATGTTTTACAGCAATCATGATCACGAGAGACGGGAGAAGTATAGTTTTATTTTAAACGCTATAGATCTCGCTAGGTTCACTATGTCAGAATTATTAAGATAAACATGCACTTAATACACGGACATACACTCAGGAAGATTTACATGATTTTTATAGGTACTTGGCGTAAGCGTGACCTCCCGAGTAAAAGTGTTCTGTGAGCGTGACTCGAACTCGCGACCTTTAGCTTAAGACATCGAAGTATATGGGATATTTCTAGTACTAAGCCGCGAGATGGTTTAATGCCTCACAATATACTGTGCAGGTCTATACAAAATAAAATTATCGCAGTTTTATAGAATTAGGATTTGCAGTTTGCACAGTAGAAATCTATTCTATATATTTTTTTGTGTTTAACTTCTTTTATATATTTTTTTGTGTTCGACTTCGAAAATATCTGATTAGGTATCTATTCTAAATGGAACCTCCATTAATTATTTTTTACATTTTAGTGCCTAGAAGTCGGTTTTTTTAAGTTTTTATTCAAAAAACTTAAATATTATCGAGAAAATATTCACCAATCGTGTTTTCTAAAAATTTAAGATAAAAGTCCGAAGTATCGTTTCCCTAATTATCAAAGTGGTAACTTTACTTCACACACTCTTAAGTTATTCCCGTGGGATAATGTGGAAAATTGCAAAAGTTTCCTAAGGTTTGGATAGGGTGGGAGGGATAAAGAAACGAAAGCGTATATATGTATAATATTATTTTCATCTTACTTTAAATGTAAAATGAAAACAGATAATAGTAGATGATTTAAATATCGCTTAACTAAAATTAAAATTGCAAAAAATGTAAATTTAACGTTTAGATGACTCTCTCGCTCTTATCTAACGTCGCGGATAGTTAGCATCGATTTTTTACCGGAAATAATAATAACGGTTGATTACCCACCATGCAATAACCGAAACACATAAACGTGAGAATCTGCCCATTAATCATAGTATTGTCTTCAACTTTCTTTACCTGCATGCCACCGCAGATATCATCGTTTGCTAAGAAAAATTAACATAGCATTATTATCGACGATCTGTTATCGAAAAGACTAGTTGTTGACAATGTTTTTACGTGTATATTTTTATTTATTTTAGTACTAGCGACTCATCCTTGCTCCGCTCGGTTTGTGAAAATTTAGGTTTGTATGTATTTTTTATGCCGAAACAGAAAAAAAATTGAAATAAAAATTTTTGTCCAAAAAAAAAAAAATAAATTTTTGGGGTGGACCACCCTTATCACTTAGGGGTATGACAAATAGTTTACGTCCTATTCTCAGACCTACTAGATATACACGCAAAATTTCATAAGAATCGGTCAAGCCGTTTCGGAAGAGTTTTGTTACAAACACAACAGGAGAATTTTAGATACACCTATTAGATGATTTTATCAAGATTTTGCATTTCTTTATCCATACTAATACTAGTTATAACTATAATACTACTATATATAATTAGCATCAGTAACAGTGTTTGCTTGTGTGTTTGTCTTCTTTAAAGTCACAGAGCGACGTATTGAATTAAATTTTGTATGAGATTTATGAAATTGTTTCTATTGAAAGGCTGGAGAGCGATATAAGCTATTTTTTATAATGGGAGATCATTTTATTCCCATGGGAAAATATGTTATAAAAATAAATACCCATACACAGTTTGAAGCCAATTAACAAGAAAATTGAATTGAATTTAATTGAATTACCTATAGACAGGGAATTTTGATTGATATGATTTCTCCATGAATAGAGTCGGAACAACCAATAATATAATAAAAGCAAAAATCCGTTGTTCCTTCTATAACGCGGATGTAGAGCAATGATTAATCATTTTTTTCGGAAAGACAGTTAAAGGGTTGAAAATTGACATATTATTTTGATACATAAAGTAATTTCCTGGGACCTTAATGTCATCAAAAATCAAAGTTTGCAATTTTGCGAAGCTCATGCAAGTTTCTAGATATATATGACCCTACATAAAACACTTAGCGTATTTGCTTACAAAATACACAAATGATGGCTAGTTTTAAAAATAATTATTAGTGTGGAGCGAAAAAAATTTTTTTCTTAGCTTGGGGGTACAATTTGTAGGTTATAAAAAAAACAAATTTTGAAAAAAAAAATTTTTGTATTACAGTGAAATTTGAGTAGTAAATGAATATATTTATCAATTCTTGAAAGTGTTCAAAGATGATCACTCAAAAAAAATCATTCAAACCAAAAATATAAATTAATAATTTATTTTAAAAATCAGTGGTCCACCTCAAAATATACTCTACATTATTTTCAAAATGTACTCTACATCATAAAATTTGTTTATTTTTATAAGCTAAAAATTCTACTCCCAAACAAAGAAAAAAAAATTTCTTTTGGTCCACCCTAATAAGTATGTACTTTAATCTTGATTACTCTTAATAACAATTTATTTTATACGTTGATAAGAAAAAGATTAATTACCACTATAGTAGTTGAGCCATGAAGTTTTAAAAAACTACTATATTGGTGCCATTTATTGTAGAGAAACTCTACTTTGACTAATGAATTATAATTGCAAAATTGCTGATTATGAATTAAATTTAGTGATGAGTGTTATTCAATCAGCTTCCTTTTTATAAATATTCATAGGAAAGTTAATTAACCATTATTTACTGTATACTTTTCTTACTAAGTTTGTACGTATTTAACTCTTTTGTTTAATAAATAAATGTGTTGGGACATTAACACACAGTACCATCTAGTTCCATGGTAAGCTACGAGGCTTGTGCTTGCTACGACCGGATAGTTGATACACTAAACATATATAACTTTTAATTAGATACATATTATAAATATAAAAACCCACGTAATACAAACATTCGTGTTTATCAAACAAATGAATGCTCCCAGCAGGATTCGAACGCGCTACCGCTAGCACGGCAAGTAGGGTCACTACAAACTGAGTTAAACGTGTCGTCAATATTTATAATTAATACTTTTCTCATTTTTTTGTTAGTTTACACTAATGTTTAATTGTGATAATCTATATGTATTATTAATTTATATTAATTCCATTCATATTTATATTAGTAGTACCGGAATATCCACTTAGACTATCACTCTATATTTGTTTTCTATAATCAAAAAACGACAAAATTATGAATTTTGTCATCATCCTGTAAATAATTATAATATAACAGTTGAAATTATATTATATTTTTAACGTTTAGTACTTAATATAACATAACAAAGCCTTTGCCAACGTCTTAGCAAAATGCGCGAGTTTGAATTTTGCTCAGAACTTATAATTATATAGATCGTATTGATTAGGAATACCGTATAGCATTATAAATATTTTTTATGATTTTGGAGCAGCATTTTACATATAGGTATGTATGTATATGTGAAATAAGTTTCTATATTTAAATTGTCTCAATTATATTTACAGTAAGAGAGTCACAATGTTCGTGCTCGCAAGCGTCAAAACGTTGTAGTGAAAATAGAATATCATTACCAAATAAGTTTACCGCACTACATTTCTTTATTATATGGTATGTAGACTAGCGACTCACCCTCGCTCCGCTTCGGTTCGTCCCTAGTTACGTTTTAAGTTTTAGTATAAATTTCTCAGAGATGAGATATTTTCCCGCAGTAGAAAGTATCCTATTTCTTGACTTGGATAACCAGCTATCATCATACCAAATTTTAATCAAAATCTGTCCAGTGCTTTTCTCGTGATGCGTTCCCAGACAGACAGACAAAAACTCTAAATAGTATAGTATTAGTTTCCAGTTTCGTTTATTTTGTTGCGTAAGTATAATGATCTCATGTAAAAAGTATCCTATATGTTGACCCGTATAACCAACTATCACCATACCAAATTTCATAAAAATCCCTCCAGTGGTTTTTCTGTGATGCGGTAACAGACAGACAGACAGATAGACAAAAATTCTAAAAACTATACATTCGGCTTCTGTATCGATAATTATGTCTATTTCAATAAGATTTTAAAAATAATATTTAATGTATAGATTCGGCTTAGTTACAATTTTATTATATTATGTATAGACATATATAAATAATAACATAAAGCTATAAAAGACGTGTTCTACAGATGTACGATTCTTATTTCGTATTTAATTTAATATTAACAAACTATAGTAATTTCAAAAGCAACTTCCAGGCAGTGTAAATTGCCAGCAGCAAGTCAAATGAATACATTCAACTTTTTTGATCTCCCGAAGTATAATGTCACACCAAAACATCTCCAGACTAGAGGTTTTTTATATAAAAATATCCTGGAGCAATTATTGGTGACAAACTTTCTGGGTCGTGTTTGTTAATATATTCTATAGTTTAAAATATATATTTCGCCTGTAAAAAGAATTAGGGGTCCACCACATAGATCGGGATCTTAGACTATAACGTCAAGGCTAATTTAACAGCGTGTATTACAAGTGACAAAAACCAACGTGGACAATGCGACAAGAGAAAATGCTTTAAAAACATTGTAACTGTTTAGTAAATAACCGAGGAAGAAGATATTGTTCGTAATTAAAATAATCATCGTTGTCGACTTGTTTTGAAGTGTACGTAATATGTTTAGTAATTTCCATTCCCTATCGAATTCGTAAATAGAACAATCGATTAGTTTTAAAATAAAAAACAAGTCAAATCCCATGACTTACAAGCTTTCTATGTAATTTTCAAATTCGAAAATTCAAAATTCTGAATTAAATACGTTAAATGCTGAGTTATCAGTTACTTTTAGAAGTTAAATTTAAATATAAGACTTGTAGTCGAGTCTAAAGAGCTCTAGCATCAAACTATATTGTAGAGAAGCTCGCAATAGAGAGATGTTTATTAATGAGTAATTTCACAAAATTTTGAATAATTCTACAATTTTAAGTACTTAAGTGATTTTAATTTGTAAAATTAAATTAACTAAAAAAACATACAATAGGTACACATAATAATATATTCTTTTCAAAAAGCAAAGCAAAATACTGCAAATAAAGGATATAAAATACATATAATTATGAATATTTTTGATTTAAATTGTTTATTCATGAATGTGACACTACCGACTCACAAAAAATATAACTTAAAGTAAGGATATGAAACACATAGGTTTTCGTTAGAAGTAAAAAAATATGGAGTTATGAATTTATTTATTACGATCTTATTTATTTTGCTTATTTAATTAGAATAATAAAAAAGTTTTCTAATATTTTAGTCATACTATTGTAGTAGTATTTTGTAACGGCATAATCATATGTATTTACCAAATCTTTACAAAATCTAATTAGTTTCATAATGTGCGCCTTAGTTTCTGTTTAACGAACAGACATACATCACACTACGTGCAAATAACACACTAAGCTCAAAAATATATATATATAGAGTAAGAAGCACAATCTAACGGTTAAGTTAATAGAAATTTAAGATAAAAAATGTGATAACAATAAATTAACATAATTTACACATAAATTAACTACACTTTCACTATATTTTGGAAAAACTTACAATTACAACGGCGACGGTGATAAGTGTTGAGATCGCTGCGCACGCGCACCCTTGCTTCATTTGTCGTTTCTTGGAGAGTTTGAGGAATTCCTCAGTCTTCGCATCAATGGTTCTGTACAAACCAAACTGTCGTATCTGAGAGCTAGTATCCGAGCCGTCGGTCGACATGTTGTTGGATCACGCGGATCACATCACTCGCGATTAAGAATGTCAGTTTGTTTGTGTACGCGTCGGTCGCGTCCGAGCTGAAAAATGCGAATTCTTACCGAGCATGGATAGTATGTTTTCTTTGAGAGTTACTACGTCAGTGTAGTGGTGGGACGGTCACTTTTACTGTGTCGATATTTTATTGAATTATCTCTTTTATATTATAAGAGATACGTGTAGAGTTAAAACTAAAATATTATGAGTATCTAGGTTAGTGTCTGTTTCTACTTTGTGTGATTAAGTCATGTATAAAGGAAAAATAGATAAAAATGATCAATTCAAATTTGACCAATTTAATCTAGATACTTTTTTTTGGAGTTCCTCTCACTAATATTTTTAATTTTTGGCAGTTTTTATATTGGTGGGAATCGAACTAATAACTCTCATGTATTTAAAAGCAAACAAAACCTGTGTTGATATTATATCATATCGAGTAAGTTTTATCAACAATATCGCACGTTGTTCACATCTCTCGAGCGCTATGCAGCGGAGCGTGGCACGGACTCCTAATCCCACTTAGCAAGTGAAATTTTGTAACAATTTTTACTCAAAATTACGTTCGTACGTTTTATAACACTGAGGTCATGTCTTCGACCTCTGACTGTGACATTTTGGTAGAAATATTTTTTAAGTCTGCTATTTGTTATAGAAATGTACTTAATACTTTCTTAGATTTACGCGAATATTTGATATTTTAAATAAAACTATCTTTTCGGATTTTTTTGCGGATTTATTTTGATTTTTGGTTCCCGACGTTTCGAATGCTTTACAGCATTCATGGTCACGGGAGAGACTGAGGTGCTGCATGTCTCGAAGGTATACTTGACACTAGAAATGTACTTGTTAAATCGAAATTATAACGCAATATATATATTATTTATTTTTATATAATATATAATATAATATTTATTTTTATTTTTATGTGCGCTTATTATGTTATACATACTTGCGACTCTCCCTCGCTTTCCCTTCGCATCCCCAGGTACGTTTTAACAGTTAGTATGGAATAGATAGACTATATAATATTATATTACTGCTCCACTCCCGTGGGTAGTAGCATGATGATATATAGCCTTTCTCAATAAACTGATTATCTAATGCAAAAAGAATTTTTCAAATCGGATTAGTAGTTCCAGAGATTAGCGCGTTCAAACAAACAAACAAACAAACAAACAAACAAACAAACAAACTATGCCTCTCTAAAATGTTAGTATAGAGTACCTATAGATAGTATAGATTTTTTAAACAACTAATAAGCATGTCGCAATCATATTTTATTTTATTAGTATTTCCAGTTTTAAATTTAATTAATTAAAAAATATACAATACATTTACGAATTTAAAAAAGAGAGTTTCAAGATCATTAAATATTTTTTTATACTACGTTTCTAATTAATTTTTTTATTAGATAGCAACGTCTTTATTTCTACGATAGTTAGCGAGAGCTTAGATAACCTACGAGGTGTGTAATGGATACCAGATAGTTGATACATTACACATATATAACTTTAAATATATATGTACATATTATAAATATAAACACCCATGACTGGAGTACAAACATTTTGTGCGCATCACACAAATGAATGCCCGCCAGCGGGACTCGAACCCGCGACCGCTGGCACAGCAAGTAGGGTTACTACAAACTGAGCCAAGCGTGTAGTCTAATGCAGATGCAGACTTCTTCCATAGATTTTTGCTTAAGGGTAATTTTTGAGCAGTAGAGTAAATAAGGTTACTTTTTCTAGGTACATAAAGCCATACTTTATAGCTATCTGTTACTTTAGGATGCTATACTGATGTATTTATGTTTATTATTTATATAAATTCATGAATAAAAAGTCGCTGTACTTTGATTTGTATCGGCTGGCACCGACTTCGAGAATATTTGATTAGGTTTCTATAGTAAATGAAAATTACCAGTTATGTCTTAATTTTTAGTGTTTTTTTTTGAAGTCGGTTCTTATTTTTTTTTAATTTTTCCTTTTTTATTTTTATTGTAGAAATAGTAGTAGCAAAATAAAGAAAAAGTATTTTAAAATTCGGTACGTGCAAAATCAATCATACCCTATTTTCTTCACCTAGGGGTGGATTTTTTTTCAAATTTAAATGGGACCATTTCGCAATAAACCTCTTTCGAACGAAAAAAGAATTTTGCACATCCACTAATATAAGACGAAGATATGCCTGAACATACATAAAAAAATATAAACATCCAAATTGAAAACTTCCTCCTTTTTTTAAATCGGTTAAAAATAATAAAAATCAATTGGCTTGTTTTTTTAAAAACATTCTACACGTACTTACGTCACAGAAGTATAAAAATTCAACTCATAACAATTATTACATAAAGTAATTAATCACGAAAAATGAAATGTCTTCACTCACTAAATAAAACTAGCAGTTTCTAGGAAGAATGCTTTGACATGTGTCAATGTGTTTTATTGATAGTGCTTCCAAGCGTGATCCACGATTGTGTAACACGATAATGTTTATAAAATAATTGGTTGGATCTTACAATTAGTGTTGTATACGTAATGTTGATATTTTCTAATTATTATTGGTTGAATTCATATTGGCAGATGCAGCATGCAGATTACACCGTCACGGAATACTTTGTAGATGTCATTGTGTGGAACCTATGTCTGGTTAAGTCTCACGTAAGTTATTTAGATAATAATTGTATTACGATATTGTAAACAAATATAAACTCTTTATTGCACATAAAAAGAAAAGTGCAATGTAATATGGTATAAAGTACAAAAAAATACAGTATATATAAAAATATTATTTTAAAACAGCAACTGTTAAGTTTCTCGCGGGCTCTTCTCAACAGAACTGCCTTTCGAATTTTAATTTAAATTTCAAAAATAAAAGTGATAATTCAAAAGTATGTACTTGTAAAAGTCTATTTGAATAAAGTAAATTTGATTTGATTTGATGTACTCAATTCGGGTTTGATGTCTTCAATTTGGGCACGATAACGTTGCCAATTTGGAACCGATTTTTATAATACTTTAAAATGTGTCTTATATAAACTTCAATAAATAAACACTCACCTGAAGTAATTACTTTTAGTAAATGTGGAGTAATTACTTATAAAGTGAATTTTAAATTGTTGTACTTTTTTATTTAATAGGTAATCATCACTGTTATTATATAAGTATCTTATTGATCTTATCACTAGTTTATAGTACCTACTCATTCATCATGTGTTCTCGTATTTGAGTCTCGTTCTGGCCAAATATGTTATTTATATACCCAATTAAAAAGGAATTCCCAGAAACAACCCAGGACTTGACGAAGGCTTTACTCTGCCATGCATTTGAATTTTTTTTCTGGTAGCTGAAGCCGCTTTGTTGGAAGAGCCATGGAGAGTGTACGTTTGTATGTACTCGTATCTTTTGTGTAAATGGCTACGGCTATGTCACGGTAAGCAAATTTTGGTCAGACATAAATCTCTGATAGCCACTACTTACTACTTCGATAGTTAGGGGTTCGATATAACATGATGCATACGGCCTTATCTTTCTTCAAAATAGATGTATTTTACTTTTGTATACATAATGGCACACTTTTGTATACATCATAATGATTAAAATTGATTTTTACAACCAAAAGTAATTTTGCTTTATTTTGAAACAATAAAACAATAAAATATTAATTTACCTTTATTTTAAAAAATATAATTTCATATAATCTTAAAATTAAAATTAGTTTAAGGCAGTGTCGATTTTAAAATATTTTTTTGAGTATTATAATTATTATATACATATAATATGGAACATAAATAGTCGACATATTTGTACAATCACTAGATTTCTGAAAATATTTTTTGACTTAAATAAGTGTATTTTTTATATATCTAATTACTTCGAACTCATTTATTTATATTTTAAACTCTCATTAACGTATGTATGTATGTACACGACAGCATTAACTAGTATACGCAGTTTGGTATCACAATTATAATTATGGCATTTTAGTAACATTTTTACGCTAGATTAGAACACAAAAGGTACCGAAGGTTTGTCGTAAAAATACCCCTGGTCAGGGATAAATGGAGGTCGTGTCGAAGGGGGTAAGTATATAGGTGGTGCTCTGGTCGTTGATGGAGGGATATATATGGGGGGCGCTCTAGTGGTTGAGGGGGGAATGTAAATTGGTGGTGCTCTTGTGGTCGAAGGTGGAATATATACAGGAGGTGCTCTTGTTGTTGAAGGGGGGATGTACACAGGAGGTGCCCTGGTAGTTGATGGTGGTATATATATTGGTGGTGCTCTAGTCGTTGGTGGCAGGTATGTAGACGGTTGAGTTGGGGGTCGCGTTGGAAGTGTGAAGGTTATTTTTGGTGTAGGATAATCGTAACCAGTAGTTCTATAGGTAGGTAATAAAGTGGAATAAGTAGGAGGTCTAGTAGTGGGTGGCGGTGGCGGTCTGGTTGTTGTAGGAGGTCTTCTCGTCGTTGATGGTGGTAAGTAAGTTGAGGGCCGAGGTGGTCTCGTTGTAGGAGGCAAGTAAGTGGATGGGGGAGAAGGCGGTGGTGGTGTTGTTGTAGAAGGAGGCAGGTACGTCGATGGGGGAGTTGGTGGTCTTCTTGTTGTCGAAGGTGGAAGGTAAGTTGAAGGTGGTGGTCTGGTTGGTGGTGGTGTTCTTCTAGTTGACGGGGGTAAATAAGTAGAAGGAGGAGGAGGTCTTGTTGGAAAAGTGAAAGGAACACTAGGGGTTGGATACTCGTAACCAGTAGTCCTGTATGTTGGAGCCCTAGTTGTGGGGGGTGGTGGTGGTGGACGTCGAGTTGTTGGTGGAGGTGGAGGTGGTGGTGGTCTGGTGGTTGGCGGAGGTGGGGGAGGTCTGGTTGGAAAGGTGAAAGGTATGCTAGGTGTTGGGTAACTATAGCCTGTAGTTCTAGTTACATCTAATATTGTGCTGTAAGTTGGTGCCCTAGTTGTTGAAGGTGGAGGAGGTCTTGTTATCGGTGGCGGTGGTCTTCTTGTTGTTGTTGGAGGTGGAGGAGGCGGTGGTGGTCTTGTTGTAGGTGGTGGTGGAGGTGGGGGTGGTCGTGTTGTACGTGGTGGAGGTGGTGGTCTTGTCGGGAAAGTGAAAGGAATACTAGGTGTTGGGTAATTATAACCTGTAGTTCTAGTTACATCTAATATAGTACTGTATGTTGGAGGTCTGTTCGTTGCAGGCGGAGGTGGCCTAGTTGGAGGTGGTGGTGGGGGCCTAGTCGGTGGTGGTGGTGGGGGCCTAGTCGGTGGTGGTGGTGGTGGGGGCCTAGTCGGTGGTGGTGGTGGGGGCCTAGTCGGTGGTGGTGGTGGGGGCCTAGTCGGTGGCGGTGGTGGGGGCCTAGTCGGTGGTGGTGGTGGGGGCCTAGTCGGCGGCGGCGGGGGTGGTCTTGTTGGGAAAGTAAACGGAATATTGGGTGTCGGATAGTTGTATCCCGTTGTTCGAGTTACATCTAAAATTGTGCTGTACGTTGGAGCTCTTGTCGTTGGTGGTGGAGGTGGTGGGGGTGGCCTTGTTGGTGGCGGCGGTGGTGGTGGCGGAGGCCTTGTCGGTGGTGGGAATGGAATGCTTGGTTTTGGGTAGAAGTATCCATCCTCGTTTAAATCTGCTGATATCGGAGAACCCAGCACCGCATAGTTCTGTATCGGGTTGTTAAGGATCGCGCGGTACAGACGGTCTGCTCTGCAGGTGTGGTACACCGCGAGCAAGACCACCGCTATGTGCAGTGACAGCCTCTGTAAAAGAATGAATTTATATTTTAATGTTTAAGTTAATTAATGGAAACCTATAATTAAAAGTATTTTATTTGTATCTGAAGTTATTAATTATGTTTATAATTTACTTATTTTTCTTCTGGGAAAACAGAAAAAGTAAGAATCTGTGGGCTAGCGTAGGCTATGGCTTATGACGATAAAAAATGCATTTCATCAAAATGAATACATACAAGCAATTCATGTAGACATTATGCTTGTTTATATTGTATAGCGATTGTCTAAAAATAAATTATACTTAAAATTAAATGAAACCTATTTGTATTATGTTATTAATAGCCTACAATTCTGTACATAAAATATATTTAAAATCTTGAACCGGAGTCAAGGATGGCGCTTGGGTTTTGTAACTCGTGTAATGTGAAATACTAGCTGACCTAGGGTCAGCTTTAGAGGGTCAGCTTTAGATCTTGAGACAAAACTTTGAGATTAATGTTAAAAACATATGTTTTTGAATATTTGGCATAAATAAGAATAGTTAATAATCCATACTAATAATATATAAACTGCTTAGTTTGTTTTTTTGTTTCCTTGAACGGACTTAACGGACGAACTTAAATAACTAGTCCGGTTTAAAAATCTAAACATTATAATAAAATTCAGAGTACATTTTTTTTTTTGGGAAAACTTTATTGAAATAGTTATTATTATCGATACAGAGGTTGAATCTATAGTTTTTAGATTTTTTGTCTGGTGATAACTGGTTATCCGGGTCAACATACTTTTTACTGCAGGAAAATATCTCATCTCTGAGAAATCTATACTAAACGTTAAAACGTAACTATTATTATATTTTTATTTATAATTGCTGTAATATCAACAATTATAAAATAAAACTATAATGATAAAAAAATATATCAAACATATATTTATTAAAGTCCAGTTTCATTTCTAAAAATACCTATGTTTCTAAAATTATTCAACAATGTCGTATGTAATACTGACACGTATTACCAAATTGATTGGGAAAATAAAACTAAATATTTTAGCTAAATGCAAACAGTAATACGGTTGCACTAATACGCGTGTCTTAATATTGATGTTGGAGGGCGCGTGTCGAATATGTGTAAATAGTAAATACTGTCTTACAAACACATATTTGCTCATTATGAGTTTTGGCCATCCTACAATTTACTCGCCAAATAAAAGTCATATAATATATTCACTATATTTAGTGAAATATATGACTTATGACAAAAATTTTATAAATAAAATATCCTGTAAAATAATTTTATAATTATTAGCTTAAAAGTGCTATTGCTATAGCTTTTTATGAGGCGTCAAAATAATTCGCGACGTTAAATAAGAGAATTCTTTTAATAGGTACTACCTATGTAACGTGTCGCCGAATTTTTCTCCTTTTAGATAGTACAGCCGGAGAGTGGCACAGGGTCCTTTTTATTCTTTTTTATTAAGACGTTAATATATACTAATATAGAAACATAAAACAATATGGTACATATATTTTAAATATCATTATAATTTTTATATTTAGATTTCTTTTTAGTTTTATTAAGAAAATGTTTAGAGTTTTTAAATGCACCTACTTACATATATTTATAAGTGTATTTTCTTTATTGGAATATATCTTAAGAGAGATATTTTTATTGTATCATTTTAATCAATAAATAAAATATCGGACCTTTGAAGCCATTATGACCATAATACAAACAATATGTTCCACCTACACCTGGACATACGCAATAAAATGCGCAGGCGCATTGTTTTATATGCAAATTTAGTGTGAGGATTGCATATTTTATAGACTCTTTGTAATGTCGTTAAAATGATTCCGTCAGGTGCAGTGTATTCAGTGTTTTTACATTATTTATATGAAGATATAACGGCATTTATGTATGTACATATATATTTGACACTGCTTAATGTGTGACTGTCACTGAGTGAAGCAAGTATTTAGGTTTTTTTCTAAAAACTTTTAACATTTAAGGCTAAAATAAAATGTTATTTATTATTAAGGATTACATTTAATTATCACAGAATTCAGTTTTTTTAAATTGAATGACTTATGTATGACATTCGATTTGTTTATTTGTTGTAAAATGACCGTGACTGAGAGTTATAAGTAAGGATATACGTGAATTAATAGTATAATTTGTGACTTGCTTTCAAAAAGTATGTATATACAATTTTCAAAAGACTATAATAATTATATATTACTTTCATCCTAAAGTTTAGAAACTCTGCTACAATATACATATACAATAAGTTAAAATAGAACTCTACCTAAAAATAATTTTCTATCTTTACATATTGGTTTTCTATAAACGATATCGCTAATAGAAAATTACAAAAAAATAATTAAAAAATGCGTTTTCTAACCACGTTATATATTCATATGATTTGTATACAATCAGTGATTAATAATGTTACAGTTTGTTTAATTACAAAAAAGTGAAGATTCTATTGCGATATAACAATTATGAGGACAACAGATTGTCACAGATCTTTCTGCATACGTAATATGAAGTTCAAATATTGGTAGTTGGTTATTTATGTAAAATATTCCAAAAGAACAAAGTATTGAACCTGACCTGGTTGTGCTAAGTCAAGTGGAACGAAAGAGCATTGAGTTTTGACAAATTAACTTAGTGGATGATAATGGAATGATGTCCCAAATATCTTTTTTTAGAGTTCTGTAAACGAACGATTCGAATAGATTTAGGTATATTCGAATTATTAGGTACAGTTAGGCTGTTGCTATTTTTAAGTGAAATTTTCAGTAATGTATGTTTTTGCTATTCGCAACCTGAGTATATATAAAACCAAAACATACTGCCTCGGTGGTGTAGTGGCTAGCATGTACGGCTGCACACCCTGAGGTCCTGGGTTCGAGTCCCGGGTCGGGCCAAGTTTAGTTATTGAGTCTTTCTGTATAGTAAGCCTCAGTGACAGCCCGGAGTTGGGAAGTTGGCGGTGTTTCACCCCCGTGCCTCGGAGAGCACGTAAAGCCGTCGGTCCTGCGCCTTAACTCTCACTGGTCGTGTCGAGCAGTCGTCCCACCGGAGTATGAGAATGACAGGAATAGAGAGTGCACCTGTGCCTGCGCGTACACTTGTACACTATAATATCTCCTGCGCAGTTGGCTAGTCTCGATGAGATTGGCCGCCGTGGCCGGAATCGGTCAGGAGAACATCATCATCATATATAAAACCAAAAATAAAAATTAAGTATTTTTAAATATTTAATACTAATACATACATTTTATATAAAACTATCAGATTTTTCAAATCCACTCAAAAAGTCATAAATTATATATTATTTCACATTTTAAATATTTTATTTTTATAATTTATATTTTTTTTTTATAATTTTTATTTTTTTAATTTTATAGGTACATATTTTTAAGAGAGTATTACCGTTCATTAATGTACATAACAACAAATAATTTTATGTCTATGATTAAAATGTATCTAAAGTATAAGTATCTATAAAAAAACTACAGAGCCATGAGATGCGCGTGCGCATTTACTTTGAGAAAGTTATGTAATGCAAAGAAATAGTTCGTTTTCGAACCTTGACAAATTAGTCTATTTCTTTTGTCAATATATTTGCCATACTTTAACTGCAGGTGATGTAATACAACAAACATTTAAAGAAAGAATAGAATATTCTGTTGGTTTACGCTTCACAAATATGTATGTTTTACAATACAGTTTTAAGAAACCATCTAATATGGAGAATTTTTTCTATGAATGTATGTTATACAACGCATTTTTTATTTAACTACTAAGCTAAAATTTAAATAAAATAGAAGAATCAGGGAGCACGGCAGTGCCCCCGCCAAGTCGATTATTATTTATAATTAAAAACTATTTATTTCTCTTTATAGATTCAAAAGTAATACTTAAATACATATAATCAAGTGTTTCAACTAAATAAGCAATAATCACGACGTAAAGCGGAAGGAGTTTAGATAATTATAAGATGAGTAAAATGTATGACGAACTCGATCAATTATAAATTCGTTTTTGTTATTTCGTTGTACAGATTCGTCGTATTTTATTTCTTGACCTCTTCATTTGAGGTTACATTTAAATGGACATGTGAAGCATAGGCTACGACCTCTTGTCTTCATACTTCGTTATTCTGGATAACCTTTTAGAAGACTATAGATCTATCATCTAGCGATAGTATCATTGAGCGAGCCTAAAAAAATATTCATTGCTGTTAAAAAGGTCAAGTATCGATCGACATTTGCGATTTTGTAACGAAAATTTGCAACACAATTGTAAGAAGATCAAGTTTTGTAAACATTTTATCAAGGTAATGTATGTACATACGTATACATAATATGTGCTATAATAATATTTTTTTAAATAAAAACAGATGGTGTAGCGAAACACAGCCCTAATTTTTTTGTCTTTTTCTCAGTCTTACCTCTGCTCTACCTAAATAAGCCAAAACTTAGGCAATTAATCGAATTAAATCAACGGCATTAAGAAATGAAAAATAAAATTGAGCTATATAGAAAAACGTTTGTAATTTACTTTACAAAATTATTAACAAATTCTGATTAAGTTAACATTACTTAATCGTTGTACGTAGACACAATATTCTCATAATCTTCGTCTTTCTGTTGATAATCTTTTATTGATTCCTTATTATGACATAAACTAAGTCAAATTAAACAATAGTGTTTGTCGCAGCGCTTGCGCAACCGAATGACATAATGCCTACTTGACACCGAAATACTGACTCGATTTAATCATCAATTAATTTCAGCCAAGTTTCTTATTAATATTACCGCATATTTTCCAATAACAGTCATTTGCAGAGATATTCTAATAGAAATTGAAAACATTACAGCAATATTAACATGAAATATTAACAGCTTAAGTTAATAATCCAAACACAAATATATGTATGTTTTAGGAGATGCTCTTGTATATACTCGTATATGCTAAGATTTTGTTAAAGCATTTTGTATTAGCAAAATACTATAT